TGGCGTTCCAGCCATGCCATGTCTAGGAAGAGACCATATCTCGTATTAAAGGCAAGAGCTAAACAGCATTCTGCGCTACTGAAATCCACAAATATTACGCAAAGGTTTATGAAGACCTTCGGCACTGTGATACGCGTTCTTATCGTTAAGTGAACCTTGGTAGCCTCACTGGCTTGTGGTTCCATTGCCTCAGCGTATCGCTGACTTTTTCAGGAAAACATGTCGAGCATAGTTACGTGAAGAAGCTCTACATTGTTTACAATCGTCCATGAATGATTAAACCCACGAAATCTAACTTTCTCGACTATCAAGCCAAGCGTGCACACAAGCTCTGTTATATAGATCATAGGTCTCGGAGGGGCTATCCCTCTGCTCACTTCTACCTCATTAAGCTCAGTCAGGGCCTAATTCTCAATAATATGGTATCCCGCGACTATTAGGACTCGACGTCATCCCGCAAAGAGCCGAAACTCTGGTTTGTGATGGGTGTTTTGATCCTGTATCATGGCGCTCTTTGCGGAACGCACAGCCTGAAAACGGGTTCTTAGTGATCCCGCACATATTACATCGTCGAATGACGCGCATATTGCTCGACTATCTGAAGATGTGCTCACCTTTAGCATCGCTAATGTCCATGGACTCGGGCTTATGATGATGAGCTCTTAGAGATGAATCTTGTAGAGCTTGTTTATACCCATTTTAATCGATTTTTGCTGACTTGAAGTTTAACTCATCGTTCTGTGATATGTACACCACTTCCTTATTGTGAAGGGTGAATGCGAAGTACTTTAGTCCTGTCTTCGCATTGTCGAATAACTTCCACGAGCACGGATGAATAAATAACCTCAGGAAGAGGGCCAATCTGCATTCCAGCTATGAGTATTTTCATCTCATGGGCATAGTCCGGCAATCCATCCTTACTCTAACAAGTAGTGTAGGCGGGTGCATTAGAAGCTACCACGCATATCGCAAACACACACCTTATCTCACGTACGATGAGGCATTTTGTCCGTCTTCTCTCGCATGTAGTGGTTTAAGAAGATTAGTAGGCGGCCGTTAAGCACAGTCCTGAATCTCAGCTCTAAGCGAGTGGTAGTGCTTCGTGGAAGCGGTTTCTCGTCTTCTCGCGAGTACTTGCGACTTAGGTCGTAAATGTGAGTCTGATTTCTATTTGAAGTAATTTAATGAAATCAAATTGACTATTGGCTAATGTGATATGGATTGGATGTAACCGAGAATTACATGAACCTACTGAGCTACGCTTTATATCTATCAAAGCGCGCTTGGAGGGCTTCGGTCCATGACATCATCCCAATACGCCATGAAGTATTACAAATTTGAGGACATTATCAATGTGGACACGTCGCGTGTGTCACACATTCTACTGGTGCGGCTCTAATGTTTGTAACCCAATGTCATGTGAACGGGATTTATCCCGTTGCAGGTAGGCACGAAGCGCGACCTCACACGGTATGCCTCATTAGGCGGTGCAAACGCGCGGGTAAGTAGAAATTTGAGCAACTGACACGTGTAAAATGCAGCTTCCACAGACGTGCCACATGTAAGTACTTACGCTCTTGATCGACCATCGATCTTAGACACAGTCAAGGTTAACCATTAATGATCTATAGAGATCATAGCAGACTCCATGCCCATTTCTATCTCTTGGACCTGGAGTATTAGATTCATCCTTCTTTCATAAGTAGCGAAGGCGCTCGTCTTGAGCGAACGAAGCCTCGTCTCTTCGTCGGTTTTAGGTGTAAAGCATGTTGGCGTAGCCGACGCCAATCGGTCTCGAACCTGCCCTACAACGGACGATTCATGTTGTACGAAGCCGGCCGGGCTTGTGATACAAGGAAGTCCACATACTTCGGGCTCAATGCTTCGGTCAGATTAGTAAGTGCGATATTTTGTGTCTCATGAAGGGGAGTTGGGATTGCTTATCCCATCCTCGCAGTCTTTACAGACTCTGTTGTAGATTGACTACGAGCACTACCAAACGTAGCTGAGCTATAACAGATTGTTTGCCAGAGGATGGATTCAAGCTCAGCGAGCCATCCCATTCTAATCAAGAACACGAATCAACGAGTCTGCTTTGCCCACTGAGTTTCTGGTTATGGTGTTAAAACTTCTAATTCAGGGAATCAACAACACAAAGCGGTAAAGAGTATATGTCTTAACAAAGCTTCACATTTTAGTGACCAAAGACGCCAAAATAAGGCACGTATCTTACACATCCATGCCCTACATAATGTTTATTGCATTTATTACACGAAGATACATCCTGCATATTTATTGCATTGTAAGGTTTTACCCTATACTCGAGTAAATTCGGAAACTTATCCTTGATGGATGAATACACACTGATTTAATGAGTCGTACGCCACATGGTGCACGTACCTTGCCCGTGGATGTATCACTTACAGTGTACCACCATTACAATTGCCTGTGTTAGGCTCAGCGAAGGTGGCAAATCGGCGAAGGCCTCCACCCTACAGAATTTTCCGCAGCAAGTACACCAAACAGAAGTGAGCGTATCCGTCAATGAATCTAACGAAGTATCGACTGTCAGCAAGAGTTTATTGCTCCGGTAGGCCGCAAAAGTCAATGCGAAGATGAATTCAAACATCCTTTCGCGTGAGTTGGCGAGTTTGGCATAAAATTCTCACGCGCTGCTTACCAATGCTCACCCACCGCACATCTACGACTAGTTCGACGACGTGATGTCGATACTGAAATCAAAGAACTCTTTTACCATGGGTTCTAAATTGCCCTGGACGATGTGACCAAGCCGAATGTGCCAGAAGTACGACGTATAGTCCTTGTAAGACTCGTCAGGCTTGGCACATTTGTCGCATCAGGTGGGAGCGAGGTCATGCGCAGCTTAAACAGACTGTTGCTAGTGCGCAAACCCAATTTGAATGTCATGGCCTTCGCTGCGGCGAAGTACTAGTCGTTTTTGGACGTGGCAGAGCCAGTATCTTTTGTTAAGCGACCTACTAAGAATTGGTGTTGTAATATCGTGGGTATAACATACACTGCTAGCTACGCCCTTCTCAACCCATGCTCGTTCTCCGTTGACAAGAAAATGTTGCATGTTGCCACTGCGAGCCGTTGTCCGCGTCTGAACGACCTCCGGCAAGACATGTCGGAGCACTTCATGCGAATGCTCAAGTACGTCATCTGCTGCGTTGCGATTGGGTCGTCCAGCCAGACTTGACTCGCCTTAGCAGCTCCACTACCGACTGAAAATAGGTAGTCGTCCCGTTTTTTATGCAGCATGTGCTACTCTTTCGCGACATGGCCGATGCCGCTTCGCTTTCCCTGAATACCCACATAACACTTGGCTATCCGACAAACTTATCCGCCACAGAGTGGCAAATGCTGGCAGACGTTTTCCTTCGTAATTGCCGTAATTGCTAGTCATAAACGCTTGGTCATGACTATGCGTGACTCCATCGTCGCTACTACCTTGTTGGCTGCGCTTCGGATCTTCATGGAGCAGTCAAGACGTCACGAGTTCACACGTCGGCGTGTCGGCAAACGACTATTGACGCCGTAGGAAGTAACTGATACAGCTCATTTAGGCTGCCGAGAAGCAAGACCGCCAATTCATCTTCGATGACCAAAGTGACTACTGCGTCAAGCAGCTTCGAATACGTCTTGTGCTTTTCGGTGTAATCGAGCACTTCATGCCTTGTCCATCGTGTTTGTGATGAAACGACGACGAAGAAAGGGCTTGCTTGCAAGATTCTTTTTTCGATGGGTCTTTCATCTTTGCCCATGCATCGAATGCGCGACCCACCTGGCGAACCAACGGGGACCTGCAAACCTTCCATCGCCAGAAAGGTGACAGCCGTCGCGTTGCTAGATATAAGCTCGAACGCTGCTTGATCCAGCGTTGTTAGAGTTAGCTCGATGTAAACATTCCGCAGTCAAACGCCCTTATTATGTCGTGCTCCTCGAGCACCATCTGCATCTTCAATTTCCGCGCATGAAGTTCCTCCATCGAACTTGTTCATGCGGGCGTTCACGAGTCCATGGCGGAGTAGCTGGGCGTCGCCGGAGGCAGAAATTAGCAAGATTGTGCTTACAGAGTGATGTAGAGACGCTTGGTTGGTAGGATGCAAGATGCAAAGTGATTCGAGCAAGGTCCTCTGGTTCACATACTCCTTTGCTACTCTGAGCCTACTTGGGTGTACATTACACGGTCACTGTGTCGAAGTGGCCGATCGTTATTCTGTCGTCGAACGAGGCGTCTCTTGACAACATTTGCCATAAAGTAGTGTCAAGTTTGCAGGACTCCCTATTTGGTCACGTCGCAAACGCTGACTTTTCTCTAGACCTTAGAGAGGTCATCACGACTTGGCTGAAAGCAGAGCAAGTTCAGTTCAGAGGTCAGCAAGAGTCGCGCGAGTACCTTCTACCAACGAACGCATCACAAACTTAGACGGCTCGCATTTGCTAATGTCGCGAGTGCTCTCTTCTCTCTGGACTCCCGAGAAATCATCGTCACTCTACTGATAGAGCGAAGCAAGCTCTCACTTCTGTAGAGGTCAAGAGGAGCCATTTGTGGTCGTTACGCTATCAAGGGCGTCAGACTTGAATGACTCACTTAGCACAATGTCGCGCGTGGTCACTCATCTGCTCATCTCTCTGGTCGCCGGAGAAGTCGTGGTTACTATGCTGACAGAGAGCGTGCGCTCGTACAACGGGCCAAGAGGAGCCGTCTGAGTGTGTGTTTCACCGACGAAAAAGTGAGAAACGTAAACGACACCTCTCTCTCGACCGTGAAGAGCTCACGGTTACAGCACCCCGAGACGAGCTGTCGTCTCAAAACGGTCCATGTCTTCGCGAGCGTATACGTTGTTGTTCGGCTACCACGACTGCCTCGGCCTCTCTTCTTGACCTTGACGCAAAGACAGCGACAACTTCTGCTCTTCTCACTTTCCAACTTCGCTCATCTCCCGCACCCCACTACCAGCTCCCAATTCTAAACAATGAAGACTACCGCCTTCCTGTCCACTTTCGCTCTGACCGCTGCCGTCGCTCACTCGGCCGCCACGAAATGTGACATGGGCGAGATCCAGGGCTTGCTCTTTTCGAACGCGACCAAGGGGCTCGCCAATTGCCAGAATGCCACGGGCATCGACATCTTCTCAGTCAGTGAGTTCCCCACGCTGGAGCAGGTCACGGATCTCTCGCAGAACGTCGACTGCACCAACTACCTGAACCAGGTGAACCAGGTGGCCAACCAAGAGACCCAGTGCAACGTTACGATCGAGGGCGTCAGCGTCAACTTTGGAACGCTCATTGCTAGTTTCCTCACAGGAAAGACAGGCAACGAGTCGGATTCCGGCAGTGGCTCCATCGAGGTCCCAAGCGACAGTGGCTCTGGATCGGAATCGTACGACCCGCCTACTATCATCAGACCTGCTGGCTCGAACGGCGCCTCAGGTGCCTACGCTCTTTCGCTTGTCGCCTACTGTGTTGCTGCCACCGTCGCGCTGGCGTTGCAGTAGACAAACAGTGTCGATTCGAGGAAGAGCTGCAGACCACCAATGTCAACTGCAGTCCCGTGTATACAGCTTTTGTACAGTTTTCATAGGAGTTCCTAATAGAGATGCATATGGAATTTTGACTTCAACATCGTCCCCGTTCGTTATCATAGGCACATCTGAGCGACACATTGTGTCGACTGCTTCACCGTACACGTGTCAACGGTATCTTGTGTTCGTGTAGGCTGCAACGAGTAGCAGTACAGCCTTGCCAGTAGTCTGTCTTCACTCCTTCAAATCGAACGACTTAAGTTCGCCATCTTTTTGGATGCGAGCACAGCGACCAAAAGTGCATCTCGCGGACATTGAGGTGTCATACAGGACGACACAAGATCGTTATAGCGACGAAGGGCAATGATTCGTCAACTAATCAGGGTCTTGTATGGTATGACAGTGTTTCTACTGCTTTGTTTCTTCGGTGCCTAACATCTATCGGTGCAACTAGCATGCAAAGCTCAAGGCATGCATCACGTTTTGGCAAGACACGTATGTCATCCTCTCTACATGGTTGGAACCTCTTTCGCGCATGACCTTCATCAACCCGATTCAGGGGTCTTGCGGTGACTTGACTAGTTTATTGTTCTCCATGCCAAGATTGACTAGATTGTCTTTAGAGGATTGCTCTGCCGCGTCGACAACTTTCCAGCTGATTTGTCCTGATCGATTTGCACGCCTAGGAAGATGCTAAGCTTACCCACCTTAGCCATCTTAGACGACTGACCAAGTGCTTATATGCCTTTCTCACGCATCTTTTCGCTGGTGCTGGAAAATGACTAGATCTTCAATATAGCGTGGCTGCACAGCTCCTGAAGCCAGAGGAAGACTTCAACACTCAATGAGCAACTTAGTTCAAAGAATTCGACTCAGAGAGTCAACAAGTCCAAAGCGCTTACGGTCTTTTCTTCCAGGGTACCAAATGACTCAAAGAACCACAGCACAGAGTGCTCAAGATTAGCTGCCTTGACGAGTCGTTTGCTAGACTCTTGACAATCGCAAGACGCCTTAGGAAGGCACGTGTCTTATGGGGGTCAAAAGGGAAACTGAGCTTTATTTGTTTTTATCCAAAAGAACAACTCAGAATAACGTACTTAATCTAGACACTAGGTTCTCATAAATAGCTCTTACAAGATCGTGTTTTTGGTGACTGACATACGTCAGCCCCTAACATCTGATATGGTGTTCTAACATCATTGCTAATGGGAATTCTTCCCTGGCGTAAACCACACATGTTGTGTAGCCCCGTATACCCTCCTTCACCAGACTGACACTACCACAAAACGCAATCGATTCTTATCTCAAAGAGGTTGGTGTGTGTGATAAATACCACCATTTGTCAAAGCACTAAATACTGTGACATCACCACCCCACAAGTCTCAGACTCTTTCCTCCTATCCCGATTTCGATGGGGAGGTGGATTATGGTAGCGATACCAGTGTCCACAATGAAGAATGAATCGTGTCCACCACATTCATGCCTGAAGAACGGCCTCATTTCGATACGAAATCCGTTCGTCAAACGTGGTGAAACCAACGCTCCAGCGGCGCAGCAACATGCAACAGATGCAGGTGAAAACGTCATGACCGACCCGCTCGACGAGCAATAAGATCTGATACTTCAGCAAGAGAGGGGTTGTAACGGGGTTGCCCGTTACATGATATTTTCACAAAGGCTAAATTGACAATGAAGAATATTTCGTGGAATATTTTTTCAAAATAATATAAGATGATGATATTTTTGTGGAGGAGGACGAGGGGGGTTTTTTTTTTTGTTTTGTTGTGTATTAAAACACCCCCCCCCCCCTTGGTGGGGGGGGGGGGGGGGGGGGGGGGGGTTTTTTTTTTTTTTTATAATAAAAAAAAAAATAATTTAAAAAAAAAAAGGAGAAAAATTAGATGGGTTTTATTTTTTTTTTAAAAATTTTTTTTTTTTTTTTTTTGTTTTGTTTTTTTTTTTTTTTTTTTTTTTTTTTTTGTTGGAAAAAAAAAAAAAAAAAATTTTTTTTTTTTTTGTGGGGGGGAAATACCTTTCTTTTCCCCCTCCTCTCCCCTCCCCGTAATCTTCGTCGCTCCCAGACCGATAGGGCCCTCCAAAGCCGTGGCGGGTATGTGTTAACAACACCTGACGTAAAGGTAAGTCCTCGTCAAACGGTGAGCCGTAGCCTTTCGACATGGGTCATCGTCCGAGAGGCTGTGTCGCCTGATGACATCGCCTTTCTCCAGGCACTGCACGAGATGTACTTCGTACCCTCTTTGATCACACAAAGTATTTACAAGGCGCAACTTGAGAACCTAGCTCGTGATATTCCGATTCGACAGATGAAGGTCGTGCACATACTGTTATACGCCGGTGATTTACCTGAAGAGGGAGACAATTGATTCATTTGCTGGACCTATCGTAAACAACACGTAAGCAGTATGACTGCTCTGAGAGCAAGTGTCGATGTGGCAGATGTTCATCGTGAACGAAAGCTTCGGTACGAATACGCCAAGCTCAAGACCAGAGGCCAATTGCGTAATCGAACACGCTATGCTTCGGCTACGCCGGTAGCCGCGGATTCCGACCCTATGGTGCGGAGCAACCCGCTACCTTCCGCCACTACTGGTGAGAAGCGTAGTGATCGCAGGACGACCCTTGCCGCGATGCTCAATTATACACGACGTATGGGAGTTCGTGTTGAAGGGGTATCTCTAAATACAATGAGTTTTTTAACTCTGGGTACTCACGCCACTTCACCAGATGCTAGTATTGGCCATGAAGACGACGTCGTTTCAGGAGTCTCTACACATGGAACTAGTGGTTCCCTTACTAATTATGCAGCGTCGGTGGTGGTAGGTGTACCGAGGGAGGAGCATGAGAAGGTGCTTCTTGAGCTGTGTGGTCTCCGGGAGACATTGGGTAAGACCCAGAGTGCGCTCCACGCAATGCAAGCCCGTGTTCAGGCGTCGGAGTTGGGTCAAGCACGTGTCCAGGCATTAGAGTTGGGACAGGCCCAGATGGAGACTCAACTTGACCTCCTGATACGGATTCAGCGGCCGATGGCAAGTCCAAGCTACGCGGCGCAAGCGCCACAAGGATCACATGGGACGAATCCCGATATGGCTTGAGTAAGTTGACGTAGAACACCAGATGTGTGCGCAAGTTCCATGAAGGTAGACAGCACCTGGACTTCCTCGGTGGTCACCCAACCGAGTACTACCTGAGCTTGAGGAGAGGCGGGCGCAACTTTGTCTTGAAGACAGCGGACACTACATTCGTATATAGGTTTCCAGCATTGAGTAGAGCTTGGCCTCTGACCTTATAACGTTCAATACAACCTCTGCCTTTAGCATCAGCTTGTTTCTTATGTTTGTCTAGTCTACCAGCCAGTGCGTCACGCACATGTCGTATGACATTCAATCGCGTTGCGAGAAACTCGCTCACCTGTTTGAGAACAGTAGCAGGGCTGATATCAGCAAGCCGATCGGCAACTCCTCCCCCACCAAGACCTGAACCACGCAGTGGTAGAGTTAACGGAACGCAAGGGTGTGTGAGCCAATTTACATAGAACGGAGTAAATCCTATAAAGGCGTGAACGGCGTTGTGAAACGCAAAATCAACGACAGGGATCATCGAGCTCCAACGTTTTAGTTTATTAGCGCAAACACTGCGTAAGATGACACCGAAAATACGATTCACTCGCTCGGTTTACAATCGGCATGCGGGTGATCCGATATGGACATGTCCAAACGGATGCCTAGCACCTTAAAGACGGGCTTCCAAAACTTCCCAGTGAAGCGAATGTCTCGGTCAGAGACAATAACCACCGGCAAACCGTGTTGTCGAAACGATCGATCGATAAAAAACGTAGCTGTACCTTCACCATCAATATTATTTGACACATGCCGCCAGGTGAGTCATTTCGCTCAAACGGTCAACAAAGACCACAATAACCAAATTGCCATACAAATCTTTCGGTAAATTGAACATGAAATACATGCTGATAGACGCTTAACATCCCATGGGTATAGGTGAAGTAGCTAGCGGCGCCTCCGCATTAGCTGATGATTTAGCCCTTTGACACGTTTCGCACGTACGCAAATATGTGATTACCCATTTGTAGTGTTTAGGCCACCAAATACGTTCGAATCACAGAGCCATAGGTCTTCTCACGACCGAGATGACCACACAACGCAGTATCATGTGCCTCATAGCAAATGCTGACAAATGTATATGTGAGTCTATAAACTCCTTGCTCTCAATAGAACGTAGCTGAGCTACACAGTGTTTATCTTTGGCTTATGTCGTACGGATTAGGTCAGTGACTGACGACGGCAGAGTCGTGATATGAGCAAGCTCGTAGTCAGGCCTGCGCGATAAAGCATCGACCAACAAGTTTTTCTTGACTAGTTTGTACTTAGCCTCACAGTTGTACTCGGCAAAGAAAGAAAGCCAACGAGCCATTCTCTGAGAGAGATGAGGCGAACCTGAGGAAGTGCGAAGCGACGCATGATCGGATAGCTCACAAAAGATTTGCATTTGCAGATAAACTCTGAATTTGACAAGATCATACTTCACTGCAAGCAGCTCTTTGTCATCAACATAATAGGTCTTCTCTGCAGCCTTCAGCGGGCGATAACTATGCGCGACCACACGATCGTTACCATCGAAGTCAGATTGCAATGATGCAAAGCCAACGGCATATTAAAAGCGTCACAGCCGACACTAGAGGACCGCGCAGGATCCGGCCGATTCCTCAATCGGGCCTGAAGGACTCTCCTTATCAGATAAAATCATTGTATTGTGTGCAAGTCCAGCGATTTTCCATATTTTATTTATGGACGTTGTATAAATGGCCCAGCCATGTCTGCTTACTTCGTACTATTCTTGGTCAAGTAATTGGCGAGGCCAATTTACATGCGTAAGTCCTTCTGTTATAAGGAATAGTCCAATCGACTGCGGATTTGACCTAAGCGGGGTATGATCGC